CCAGAGCCACTGGGGTGGAGCCTGAATCTTTTGAAATAATAAAAATAAATATAAATAAAATGCATGATAAATACATTAAAACATACAGTTAATCTACTACTTTCTGATAAATTTGTTGTAAACGAAGAGCTGTGATAAAAAGTTTTAGAACTTAATGGTTTGCTATAGCTGAATCATAAGAGGAAAGAGGGATTTGGTTAATATAGAATAACATAGGCATATTGAGATACACCATTACTATAAAATACATTTACAAGTGCCATTTTATTGAATACTGATTTCACCCGGCAAAGCTAACACTACTAATGTACTAATGTACTAATTTCTATTCCACAACTCGAGGTAAGTATTCTAGGTACAAACTATATTCTAATCACATTATCCTTTACATTTTTAGCTAGTTTTTTTTTCTATTCAACTCCTCCAGTTGTATATGTTTTGCGCTGTTACCCTAAAAGAGACAACGAAATGTTTATAGAAGTTCAAGGGCAATGCTACGCATCAAGTTAACCTAGAAAGCCACACTAAGCCGACTAGTCCCGTTTGACAAATTTGAATATCCGACCAGAAATTTATTCGACCTTTGGCAAGGTCGACAGCTTTTGTGCTGAAAAAAGGTCCTGTTAGCCAAAAAAAATTTCGTCATTAAACAATGTCATGATGTTTACATACAAGAAAAACTTGTTTGGCGACCTTCAAAATTGTGAAAAACTTGTGTGTCGCCCTTCCAATAGAACTTCCAAACCAACAAGACTAGTATAGCATGGAGATAGGGGATATTATTAAAACTTGCATTGATCCTATTTAGATACAGAATGTGACGTGACCAGCCCTTACACAAGACAAAGCCTCTTCGCTACTACAATGATCTGTTACGTCATCACTCACACGTATTCACACACCCGAGATGTATATCCTCCCCTCGCTTAGTCTGATCTTGACCTCTATTTTCCACTAATTGTGTATTTATTCTAACAATTAACAATATTTATCTACGAAATCCAATGAAGTGAAGGTTGTCGTGCAAGATTGCGTTCACTAATCTTCCTCAGCGTTATTAGAATGTGGGTAAAATAATACTGCAACTTGTAATTTTTATTCGTAAGCTAAAAGCTTATTTATCCAAACTAGTGTACCTGTTGCTCAAATTGCTAAATATTACAGTCGTTATTTTAAAACGAATAACAGTCATATTTTCTGATGACTTTTAAATATTCCACTCATAGATTATGGAAATACTCAAGATGTACATAACAGATCGATATAATCAACAGTTAATGTAAATAGTGTTTTCTACAAATAGCCTTACTCATAGCCGCATTAGGTTTCCAGACATTATGTGTCCAAAAGCCTAACAGCACGACTCCCTTCCCCATACCACCCTGAGCGATAGGGATCATTGAGATTCGCTCTAACCTATCTCTCATGGGCAAGTTTTCATTCTTAGTTTCATTTTTTCTTAGTTGTTATTGTTTGTTTCTTTTTTAATTTTAACGCCTGTATGTATCCCTGGTTTTTCCTATTTCCCTAGCTACTTTTCTAAACGTCTCAATTGTTTCCTTGTCACTCAACATGTTTTATTTTCTCATCTCTAGACCTATCTTATCCAAGACTTATTCTTGTTCTCTCCTATTTGTCTCCTGAAGTGAACCATTTATAAATACGTGACTCGTGGTTTTTATTTCTCCACAACCACAATATGTTCACAAATTCACCTTGAAATTTTCCATGTCCTGTGATAAACTGTGTTTCATAATGGCCCATCTCCCAATCTTGTTCCAGTCTCTTTCTGATGTTAGGTCCGAACGTCTACCTTTAAAACGTTAACATAAAACACTCTGCTCCCAACGCATTTGACCTCATCTAATATCTCCTCTCTTCTGTTTCCAATGTAGTCCTAGCCACCTCCTTGTCTTCCAAAATCAACAGTTTATGTAGCGATTATCCAACAGTCCTAAATTGAATGTGAAATCTTCAGGTGGCTGTTGGAGAGCACACTTAGACCCAACATGGAAGGGTGCTTGCTGTATTCGGCTATCAACGACAAAAGTATTATTTGTATTTCGTTTGCTTCTACCAGTTAAAGTTCGCCGGCCTCCTCCTATTGGCCGTCGTGGTCAACGTCAAATAGTCTCCATTATTGCAAACATTTTTTTGATTATGTTTTGATTTCGTGCAAAGTTTTAGTATAACCAGCTGTTTCAAATAGTCTCAATTTCAAAGTACTCATCTGTTCAGATGTAAACAAACATTTTCTCCTCAAGATTAACATGGGAGCTTTGAAGGCCACTGGGGCAGAGCCCTGATGGAATTCCAAAGTTTTTTTGTTTGATGTTAAAACTACGTGCTAAGATCTTTCTAACGACACCTTGGACATGGTGATCGGTAGCACCACCACTCCAAAACAATTATGACAAAAATATACCTAGCGTATTAAATATATAGATGCTATATTTAAAACCAAGATTATCATTAATAATTTTACTCGTACATTATATAAATAGTCTTCTCGTAGTCTTTAGCCCAAACCACACTTAAAATTGAGAATTTATTATGGTAAATCTTCGTCGCTTACAAATTATTGTAAGCAGCATATGTTATAAATGCTCAATTTGAAAATAATATACATTAGTGTACTAAAATATAATATACTCATGTTATTATACTGTAGAATTTCATAATTAATAGTGGTAAAATTGATTTATTACATTTTATAACAATGTTTCCCCATGTTATGTACCACATGTTATCTCAACAAGAAAAAAGTTAATATTTCTCTTCTTTATCTAGTGCATCATATAAGTTATATTCTCTTAGGTGGTAAAGTATCGTTTGCATCTAGCATAAAGCTTGTTACAGGCAAATACACTTAGTATTGACAATAAAATTTAAAAACTTAAATAGTTTATTAAATTTGATTTCAAAAGGAGGCTTATTACTCTGGCCACGTAATTATAGCCTGTAAAATGTGATATATAATTTTTACATAATAGCGTAATAATACAGCATAATAATTTACAGATATTATCTGTAAATAAAAAAAAAAACTAAATAGTGGGAACAATAAAAATGTATTTCTTTATGAAATGTTGTATTAGTGTATTCTCCTGCGAGAGTTACTCAATCTGTAACTCATTTAAAACACGAAACATCAATACATCTCATAAAAGTAAAACTTTGTCTATTAGGAGCAATTTAACATTCAAGCAGGTCTGCAGTATTAAAGCCGTAATCCTCAAGAACATTAAAACACACATTACGCGACAGTTTACGATGCTTTAACGATCTTGTCTTAAGTGCGAAAGTTAAAAGACCTGTCAAGGAATATTTCGATTGAATATTGTATAGTAAAATGCTCCGTCTTGCATCTATTTATCACCACGCTTTGGATGGAAATGATACAAATAAATTGTCACTAACGACGGTTATTTAGTAGCATAATTTAGATGAATTGTTGCTTCATCTACATGTTTTCCTGCATATTTTCACTATAATCATAACACCTGTGTCATAAATGTTAGTTAGTTTTCATACATTTCATGACAATAAAGGAATGCCACTTGTGAATTCTGTTATTAGGGGTACTGCGCGAAGCTCAAAATATGCTACGTTAGCGCCTTATTTAATTTGGTTCATTAGTTTTTAACTAAATACATTATGTGAGGTAGATATGGGTAGGACCATCCGATTTTGAACTGCAAACATAAATACACTTTTTAATGTTGTGTGATTATTTGAACATGAAGGAATTTACTTTAGAAACAATCCAGACGTAAACAATCCAAAAATATAATTAAGGTGGTAGAAAGAATCATTACAATTTTTTTAACAGTAACCCAATGACAAAAATTCAAATTTTATAGTGATCGACCAAGAGCACTCCAAACTCTGTCGTTTAGATTTCATGAATGCCACAGTTATTTAATTCATCTACTTATATGGAGCTATGTGCCTGTGTAATTAATTGAAAAATTTAACTAAAAGTATCATGTAATGTAATTGTAAATATTTAAGAGTACAAAAGACTAATGTATAATACTTCTTTTTAAATTTAAATGTATATTAGCCTTTTGTACATTCAAATTTAGAATTACATTACATTAATTTGCCAAATCTCCAACATACATGATAAACGTATCATCTTAAGTGTTTTTGCATAGTTATTCAACCGTAGCCTTTCTTTTAATATTTTACTTTTACTTATGTGATGTGGCCTAGTTGGTTTTATCATATTTCACATAACTGCAGTAACTTAAGTTTATATATTAAACTAATATGCCAATCCATAACCACAACTTCACATTAGAAAACTTGTAACAAAAATCCCCCATTGAAAAAGAGAACTTAGTAACTAAGGGGTTTTTAATACTTCAATTTGACAGGGAAAAAGTAAGTCCAAACTACCTTACTAACTTAACTGCCAGACAAAGATATATTGCTAAACACCCAAAATAAAGTAAATCCATCTTAAAGGTTTCGTCCAATAACCAAAATAATTCTCCTAGACTAAAAACGTATTGATATTTGCATCCGCACATAGTATCTCAGATCCTCCAAAGATTGGGCTCAGATCCTCCAAATTACGTTATTATTTTATAGAAAATTACCATCGGTGACTTACTGGGTTTCTAAACTCCACGACCTAAGTCCCACGCCCTACCTATTAGTCTACCCACGCTCCCCTAAATATGCATACAAATATAATCAAATACCCAGTATGTTCAAGCTGTGTGGATACATTAATGGTCAAACCATAAAAACACGACCAGATTCGCTTGGATAAGTAAGTGCAAACAATATCCATACCCGGAAACATCTACCTCACGATCCGTGTATCTAGCAGGAGAGTGCGGCAGATGATAGGGGACTATAATTACAAAACTGCTCCTCCCCGCGTGTCCTTGTGTCCTGTGACAGCAATACTGTCCCACATCCTGGTGTTCGGCCTTCGATCCTCCTCCGACACTCCAGTACTCCAGTGGAACTGCTCCAGTACTCCAGGACTCCAGTAATCCAGTGTACTCCAAAACTCATCACTGTCACTCCAGGACTCATCATTCACTGTCGCTCGAGGCATCTTCTGCCCTTGAAGGGAGCAATACAGATGTGTTTTATTTCACTAGGTCGCTCTAATGAACTTTTGACTTGTGTCATAATTATTGCTCTCACGGTGCAATGAAGGCCGGCTCCAGCTGATTGTTGAATTCGGAGTTACCCAGTGAGTCAGTCGGTCTCCAGAGTGTAGTCATGCAGGTCCCGGGCCCCGTGCTGCTGATAGTCTTCACTTCTACAGTGGCCGCCGCTTGGTACAGCCGGCCCCGGCACTACTTCGTCCCACCGATCGTAAGTCATATCCTGTTGTAGTGTATCTGTTATTGATTAGAAAATAGTGAAACAGGGGGATTTTTAATAGGGAAAGAAGTAATTTGCCTACTTAATAAATGTTTATAAGGCGATGTAATTAATTAATTGTTCTTCTTCAATAGTATTTTCAAAACATTCCATTGAATCTGCAGTAATACCGTATTTTATTTCAAACTAAAAAAATGATTTTACGGTATTGAGATTATTTAGCTTTCCAGTGTATGATGTACTCCTTTTCACATAATATAAATTTGAGGTAACTCTATCATTTCAGATGAATTTCAGTTTCCACCGATCGAATAATTTTAAATTTTGTATATTGAACTTTAAGGTGATAAAGTTAAATTTTGTTTAGTAGCTTGAGAATACAGCATTCGTGTGTGCTTACCTACAACGTTAAAAATAAGTTTACACCTGATATAAATACGAAGGTGAAAATTTAATACATTAAAATGAAAACGTGGCTGTTGTTTACTTTTGATGTCTTATTTATTCTTACTCCTTATATCTTCTACATACAAAATGTAATTCCTTTCAGGTGATTCATTGCGTAGAAATTGTGGGCGTCTGGCAAGTCGTATAAAATATTAGAGGGGTCAAACTAAAGTCCTTCATTGTAAATTATCGGGAAATATAGTTGAAATTCCATAATTTTTGCATTAAATTTATTAAGAAAATAGTTATTTATAAAAAGTTGTATTAAAAGGTATTTTACATCTGACTTGGTTTATATCTAATCACGTGATTGAGTAATATCTGGTAGGTAGATGTTTTATTTGCCAGTTACTGTAACTGTATAATGTACAATGCATTATAATAAAACCAAAATGAACGCAATCTAATTTGTTGTAGGTTATCCTAATGTTGAAATCATTTCCTTTACTTGAAAAATAAGTATAAATTAGTATATTACGTTACTAGCCCGGAAAAGCTGTGTTTACAGGGCGAGCATGGTTGTTCCCGCGAGATGAAGTCAAGTGTGGGATTACTATACAAGTCCGGTTAACACATTTTGGATAAGTGACTTAAGGTATTTTTCGCCGTACTACTCTAAACTAACCTAAAAAACTTTACAAATCCACCTAATATAGCGAATAGGAAGGACGAATCAATCACTACTCATAACTTCTCATTGCCAATTCTAATCATCTTGTGTCCGGTAAATAGTTATTTGGAACTAGGCACTTTGCACTCGCGTTACACATCTATTTCCTACAGTTACTATATAAAGCAAATAAATAAATAGTCCTTCAAACACTACACAGCATGTTTTAGGTTAGGTTAAATCCAAGCGTTGAACGAAAGTATAATGTTTTATTTTCACGCCTGTTGACATTACGCAAAATAGCTCATTTCCACTTTATTCATTCTCGCTCGACATGACCATTTCCGCTTGCTAAATCAGCTGATTTCACTGTTAGTTGCCTAGAATACACTGACACCTGGTAAGAAAATATCATAACATAATTAATGCAAAAACAACCTTGATGACATATTTATATGCAACTAAAAATGTAATTATTTGTGTTATGATAGCTTAATTATGGTGGTAGAAACATCTTGTGTGTATTAAGATCACAGTCATAGCCGTTCTCTAAAATGTATGGTCAGTTCTCGAGGTACAAAGACGTACTTTGCACTATTAATACACACATAGCTATTGTTTTTCCCTTCCTAATTTTAAGGCCGTTGCGTTTCTTTTATAACACACTTAAACCCGACTTCGAATAACCACATTGTCTGTTCCTCACAGAAATTTATCAGCGATCAAAGACGCAATTAAAATGCCTCCGCTTTGTTTTTATTTTAAAACATACGATCAATATTCATTGTAAATTGTTTTGTTTTCAATGCATCACTTATAAAGGTTAATGTAGTGCTTGACAAAAATACCATGGAACCTTGTACCATATTGACTATTTTTCCATAACTTTTATCAGAGATTCAAAATGAAATCTGTAATGGAAGTATCATATTTTCCTTCAAACAATTACTGTGAACTCAAGGGCAAAATTGCAAGGTGCAGGATCGTTCATAGAAATTACAGGGTACGGAGTTGTGCGAGAGTAGTCAATGTCGAAATTTAATGGAAATTATATGTTACAACCACCATTCTTGAGGATCAAGTATAGATAAGAGAAATAAAAATACCCATAATGCACAATTAATGAACCAAAAGTGCAAGCAATTTCTGCTCTTAATTTTATGTAACTTATTAATAACCATTTAAACGAAACTTTGTAAAGGCTTTTTCTTCTTTTTTCAGCCACTAAGAAAGACATTCTAGGAAGTAACCTTACTGTTTAAAAACTCAAGGGCAGATATGTCGTTTAATGTATCATTGCTGCCGACACATAATGACGACCACATTTTATGGACAACCATTAGTCCAAGGCGCAAAGAATATAGTGACTTGAAACTTGAGATATTTTTAAGACTAGGAAAATCTTTATCAGAATAGATATGCTTGAATTTACAAAAGAGATTCAGAAGATACAGCGCGTTTTGTTAATTCCTAGTCAATCGTAAAAACTATTTGACAAAAATTATTTATTTCTAAATTTCATTAGTTTAAAACAATTTTAATAATTGATTTCTTCGAGTAAATTTCACGGATTTAAAATAAAAAATAAAAAAAAACAGTAAGACATTGCAGCCACAAGAGAGAATTTATTAATTAGAGTTAGGTTTAAAGTTTTACCCTTATTTTGCTATATAAATAATTAAGTTTCGAATTGAAAATATTTAATGGTTACTAATATTTGAAAATTCTCAATACACTTATATTAATAGCTTGTTAAAATGTTTAAAAGGCAAAGAATCTAAATTATCAACATTGTTGTATGTAGTAACAATCGAATGTAAATACCTCCGCAGAGCGAACCCGCAAAACTGGAAAATTTCTCGATAAGAACGTGTTTGCGTTGAGAATACAAACAGGCGTAAAATCCATCACTCCGTACTACAAAGACTGCATCAGGAATGTCGATTAACCGGGCGAGGAACATACAAACAGTCTCATTAGGTCATCCACACCCAGAAAATCTCGGGCTGAAGATTTCGAAAGCGTTAATTCTTGTAATAGAGTTACGTTTCAAGACACTGTTGTGATAGACACTTGGCAAATTATCTTCAAATTGAGGCGTAACAATATATTAAAGTAAACCTTTTCCAGTTATGTTTGTCATACCAATTGATATTGTTTAATTCACTACATTATACATACTAGTTTGATCTGCCCGTGCTTCGCAACGGGATGCAGAGAATAATAACGCGGTTCTTTAAATCTACTGTAAAAACTGTTGAAATACATCCCTCATTGATAGGAAGCAAATATCAATTACCGTACTGCTTATTTTTAATAATATTCGCCCCAGCTGTAAATAAAACATGTGATTGAAATTTCTTCCAGTTGTTTTGATTTTCTGTTTATATTTAGTTACCAACATGGCAAACTATAAGGTCCATGTTATTTTTTTCATTTGTAATAAATCTTTTGCGTGATTTTTTTAGCTTATTTTGATTTATAATGGGATTCTGCACACCTAAAGGAAAATATCTTTCTAACAGTATGCGTAGAATTTTCCTGTGATGCACACGAGCTGAGAAAAAGGTTTTCAAGAGGCATGCTTGCCTATTAATATTTAGGAGGATAATGTAGAAAGACTAGATGATTGCAAATACATAATGCAATTTTCGTTCAGTAGTCTTCAAAACCAAGATAAATCAACAAGAGTAACGTTATGCCGAGCATAATAAACGGTGTTGTCGATACGGCTACAACAACGATGATAATTAATAATTCATTCACTCACCACAGAAGGGCAAATAACACTTAATTAAGTCATCAAATCTAGATACTTCGTGATATAATTGTTGTATTAAATATTCAGTGAGTAACCGAGTGCAACGTGAATAATAGACAATTGTGGTTAAAGGACAAACCCGGCAGCTGTGAGAGGGAATCAAGAAACAATACTACACACATGATGCGGTTCTCACACATTATGTGTGCAGGTAGATTGTGAGCTTCCCTGTGAGCTTTGCTTATTCAAACCGTGATCTCAAAATCAATGGTCGAATTTCAATGTGAACAATTAATACACTCGATGAAAATTTTATTGATAATAAATCAAAACATCTAGCAATATGTGTTGTTTATATGTATTATATATGTGTGTACCCTGCTAAGGCAACAATAGATAGCGAACTGTGGTAGATTAACGTCAAGTACAATTAATGTCAACCAAAACGTTACACGAAGCTTAACAATGAATTATTCCAGACGTCTAGTTATTGGTGGATACGCAAGTACAATGAGTTGTTGGTTCAGCTATTGACAAATTGCTCCAATTTTACTGTCCTCATTATTTGATTAGTTGTCTAAGCACTTATGTCCTTGGATGATGTTAATTCCGATAGAGGCGTCGTTCAAAATAGTGAAGTTTTGAAAAAAGTATATTAGCTAAGAGTAGTTTGAAAATAGCAAGTATTGGTTTTACATTCTGCTCAGTAAACTTAAACCTTTTGTATATTGTTTGGATTAGTTAGTATTCGCGGTTATTAATAATATAAAATTGTTACTTATTATTACACATTTAAAACATATCTTGTAGTATTAAAAAGTAAATAAACAGTTGTTGTTATCTTCACACATTTAAAAGAGTGTATTATCTCTCTCTCATTCTTTATTTTAAACATTTTCGTAACATTAAACCTCTGTTCCTTCAAATTCGTTTTATTGACTTATCATTTTACTCTCTTATTTTAAATTATTAACTACATTATATCATTTTTTTAACATAATTCAGCACTCTTAACAATAAAATCAAATAATTGAAAATCCTATACGGGCTATTCTTTCAGGCTGAAGGAATTGGACAATATAATTTCTCGAGGTGTTTAAGGTACTTTCAAAGCTTTAGTAATATTTTAATTCCTCGAAATTCTAACAAATAACCATTTCAAGTTTTAAAAAAATACTAGAAATATGAACCTTGGTATAACAATTTCCGCCATTTAACGATTTTTCTTAAACCTTCTTTCCTGGAACCCCTCATAAGAATCAATATATTCCTTTCATCTCTCTCTCTCTCTCTCTATATATATATATATATATATATATGTATATATATATAGGTATAAAATATATTTACGTGAATCGTGAATGCGTGAACCGTAGGTACTTATAACTTGAAAAAAAATGAATCGATCTCGTCAGAAAAAAATCAACTTCGGCTTAGCAAATTCCTTGTAGTTAGATATCAGCTCTACATTTCACAACAGTTAGACAGAAGAGAAGACACGCAATGTTGTATCAACAGGTATAATGTGAAGTACCCGCTGATGACGTCATTAACCACGCCGACCGCACTTAGCCTTGGCGTCTTCCTATACTCGGCAGATATGTCCTTCGGGAGTCTAATGGTTAATGTCGGTCGTGATCAATCTCGGTCATCATATAGTGCCAAAATTACTGCCTGGAAAATGTCGTGATGTGCAGACAGTATAATATCAATATTTTACATAAAATATGCAATCTTAGCAAACATCTCTGAGCTGTAATAATTAAGAAAAGTAATTTGACAGACCTCATGACGTGGTTTCAGGAGGATGTAGTGAGGCGGCTCGGGTATGACGTAGAACGTCATGAAATAACCACATCTGACGGATACATCCTCACCTACCATAGACTACCCAGGGGCCGTGGCTCCAGTAAGAAGAAGAAGTCGCCTAGTAACCGCAAAGTGCTTCTCTTCAACAACGGCATACTTCTGTCCTCCGCTTCGGTTCTTACTAGTAGAAGAGACTTCGGTAAGTAACATAATATACTAAAGTTAAATTATGTTTTCACCACACTATGATGTTTTTGTCTGTATTACATACGTTAATTGGTGGCTGAAAGTTACGTTTTGCTGGCCATGCCAGCTGTAATCGTCAATTGGGGACCGAGCAGGTTTTTACATCTTTAGTGCCACACAATCAGCTGGCCGCTTACTTTCTTAAAACATAAATGCATATTTAATACACAATCAGTATCCATAGCATTGCAATAGAATTGTTTTATTGTCACCACTACCTAGCAACTATTTATTATTATTTTTGCTGATTCCTCAAATTATTTCTTCACATAAATTTGTAGTTGTATATCAGTGTGCATTATTATTATGGTGAATAGTGGTAATATTGTATAGTGTGGTGAAAATAGCGTTCGTACCACGGAACGAAATAATGGGTTTGCAGCTCTCGATAGTTTGTTCTTGACTTCGTCTCGAACTTAAAAACTCAAGCCGGTTACTACTGATGAAAATAACAGGAATTATTGGTTATCGGACAATCACTTGTTACAGTATAACAGAATCGATCAAAATATTCTCCCGGTAAATTTATTTGAAGTAAGAATTTGTATTAACCAGTAAATTTTGCCATGCCTCTATAGACTAAAGTAAAACCAATTAGGCCTATTTATTACATTTGACCCCTTTTTGGTTTCATTCATATAATTCAAACTGCCGTTAATTGTACTGTTCTAAACATATAGGCCTACTTACATGTTCGTCATGTATTTATCTAAGTTATTTTAATTAATATTTGATTACAAGTTTGAACACTTCACCTTACTAGTTCCATTATTTTGTTAATCTGGAAACTCTATTATTATAGCCCGGAACATAAAGGTCTTGTAAGACCAGATTCTTATTGAACCTTATGAAATCCTAAACAAGCCAATGGAATAGCTGAATGACAACCAACTTAAATGTAAACACACTGGGTAATAAGGAAAGCTGTAGCACATCCGTAAGTAGCTTATAACAAATAGATGACAATAAAAGAAAATAGCCGTTAAATGAAGGTGGGAGAAGCTGAAGGCCGACCTTTGTACAACCGAAGAAGGTCGAGGCTGATCGTGCAATCCCTACAAGAACTTTAAAAGTAAAGGAAATTGAAAAAATAGTGGGCGGTAGTTCTTTGTTGAAAAACTAGTTACTCCTAGTCTTAGTAGTAGTACGCCAAGCGCGAGGGTTGTTGGTATCAACGCACATAAATGCCATCTATTTGTCATTGGTGGTCGTTTTACTGTTGTAGAAAATTATCTGGTATGAATTTAACTGTGTAAATGTTTGACATCACTCATCCTTATACGTGAAGGTGATTTCTACGGAACACTACTCCTCCGAAATTGTGTCATCGGAAATTGTGACTGAAATTTGTTTGAAATATACTTTACAATTGCTCGAATTCGAGCAACAGGTGCACTAGTGTCTTGGTAGCAAATTTTCCTTACAGATAATAAGCTATTATCGTAATACTTAAGGTAAGACCTAGACCCGGGACCGTTTTACCTTTTTGTAATGATGATCCCAGTGGTAAAAGATCATCCATTTGATCCCATCCGTTCAAAATTAATTTTACATCATATCCATATATATATATATATATATATATATTTATTTACTCTTGAGGTTGAGAAACAAGCATAATTTAAAAACACACTTATATAATTCTGATGCATTTTATGTTTCAGCGTACGAGTTTGCAGATGCAGGATTCGACGTCTGGGTTGGTAACTACCGTGGCAACATGTATTCTAGAAAACACAAATACCTCGACCCGGACCGTGATCTCAAATTCTGGGACTACAGGTAACTACCGTGGCAACATGTATTCTAGAAAACACAAATACCTCGACCCAGACCGTGATCTCAAATTCTGGGACTACAGGTAACTACCGTGGCAACATGTATTCTAGAAAACACAAATACCTCGACCCAGACCATGATCTCAAATTCTGGGACTACAGATAACTACCGTGGCAACATGTATTCTAGAAAACACAAATACCTCGACCCAGACCGTGATCTCAAATTCTGGGACTACAGGTAACTACCGTGGCAACATGTATTCTAGAAAACACAACTATCTCGACCCAGACCGTGATCTCAAATTCTGGGACTGAAGATAACTACCGTGGCAACATGTTTTCTAGAAAACACAAATACCTCGACCCAGACCGTGATCTCAAATTCTGGGACTACAGGTAACTACCGTGGCAACATGTATTCTAGAAAACACAACTATCTCGACCCAGACCGTGATCTCAAATTCTGGGACTGAAGGTAACTACCGTGGCAACATGTTTTCTAGAAAACACAAATACCTCGACCCAGACCGTGATCTCAAATTCTGGGACTGAAGGTAACTACCGTGGCAACATGTTTTCTAGAAAACACAACACCTCGACCCAGACCGTGATCTCAAATTCTTGGACTACTGTACAGGTAACTACCGTGGTAACATGTATTCTAGAAAACACAAGCGTTCACACGAGCGATCGGGTAGTCGAGCTGCAGCTCGCATTCTTACCTTTGTTCTCATTGTGCACCAGTGATGGAACCGAGTGGTTTTGATATCTATATTTTCACCTAGCCCGTAGACATGTCGTTCGTGTGAACCGGTGTGATCCTATGGTCCGCTACCCAGTCGTGCTTACCTAGTGCTTACGTAGTCCAAGCCTAGTCCGCTAGGTATGTCGTTCGTGTGAACCGGGCCTTAGGGTTTTACCGTACACTTTACTCTAGTTCGTTACAGCACAAACTCTAGTAGTAAATAAAACAATTACCCATCGAACTGTTGTTAGTTATTATTACTACGATAAGGATTTTTTCAACTAATTTACAATTAATTTAATTTCAATAAACAACAATGTATAAAAACGGTGACGTTCTAGAATAAACTACGTGGAGGTGTGCGGCTATGTGTGAAGCCGTGGTTCTCGTCCAAGAAGAAAAACAAATACCGAGATAAGCGTTGTGTCTTTGCCAATTGTTTAACAAAGCGTGTACGCACTATAGATACAATCTGCCCGGCGACATGTACAAGCCTACATTATCCTTGAGGTGACGGTAGTGTGGCGATGGTAGTAAATTGTTCCATCTACGGCAATCTAAAGTAACACCCCATTGATTTAAGTTGCCCACAGTAAATTTGCATAGGTCAGAGTCAATTTATCAGGTGTTGAAAGTAGACGTAGCTTGTGTTATTGCACCATGGTGCATTTATACTGAGTGCTGCGCTATGTCGGCACTTTGATAATGCGTTGTTGTGTCACAGTCTTCACGAGCTAGGCACGCAGGATTTGACTGCCAGCATAGACTACATCCTGGGAGTGACGGGGGCGTCTCGACTGGTCTATGTGGGCATCTCCATGGGAACCACCATGTTCTGGGTGCTCGGGGCCGCGCGGCCGCAGTATATGAACAAGATAGAAGCGATGGTGGCCTTGGCCCCTGTTGCAAGGACCACGCACGCTACTTTTCTCAACAGTCCCGCCCGCTGCAATAATGCACGTGTAGTTGTCGTAAGTATCTTTCCTTGACTATTATTAAAGACACCCTTCAGTCAGTCATTAATACTTGAAACTCGCTTAGATTACAGTAAGTCAACTACCAGATTAGAGTGGTACCGGAATGTCGAGTTTGGATTATTTGCTTATTAACGATTAGTTACTACCTTGTACCTATTACAGACAATTAGTTCTACCATATGATTATCTCACGTGTAGTTGGTAGCAGTAATTGAAAGTGGTTTGTAACAATGGTTGTAATAGAGATTAGAGGCCAACGCTTCCCTGTTGTAGAACGAAGTGTTATATGTTATTAGTTAACGGATGTTATCACAGGGATGTTATTTATTCGTTGGTTTATCTTTATAATGCAGGATACTACATTTGCACTATTTAGGCCAACTTTATTTTGTCCAAATTACTTATATACTAGCTGCTGTATTCGTGCTTCGCCACGGGAAGATGTACTATACCGACTAATCCAAACACTTGTTAAGTAGATCGAAGTCAAAACAAAAAGCCACCAAATGTTTACAAAAGAGTATGACCTACATTGTAATTGTTCTACTGTTAAGAAAAAAATGAACATAATTTTCATAACAAACGGTTATAGAATATTTCTTTATTTCCATAATCAATTACCTTAATTACCTACCACATAGTTGTAAAATAGTTTATTTGATTTGTTTGGATCAGCTGTCTGAAATTGTGAAATAAACATTTAGCAGTTCTGACTGTTAACATTGAATTTTAAACGCAAGTTTGTGAATTTTCTCATGCTTCCCTGGAGACCAATTAATATTTAATTATGAAAACCTCACCTCAAAACTATGGACATCTAAGGGGCGTAGCCCGAGAGGAAATCAGAGAAGTGAATAGTCCTATGACTTTCTGACTATGTGGACAATCTTTGTGCTTAATTTGGGCTGTGTTGGTTACTTATTTTAGTCGTGGCAGCCGGACAGACAGATACCACTTCAATTTTATAATAGAATAGATCGATAAATATAAACCGTTATATAACTTCTTTAATCTTATAAATATCCTTTCTTAATACATTATACTGTAATATTAATAATCGAGTTCCGGTTCCTCTAAATATTCTGATAAGACTTGTTTTGTATACCTAATATCAATTTTGTCGCTCTACACAACTTCAAATCCCCTTAATTCCGTAACCTTGCAGGATACGTGAATTTTCAATATCAATCAAGAATGGCAATCCATCAAGAAGATGTTGGTAATTGATGATTCCTTTTATGATTGATGCAATAATAAGGAAATAATTAAAGGCGCTCTCTATTTGAGTCCTGCCCTCCTTATTCGTACTGTGCAGACTAACAAATCCTAAAGTCAAGGACATGACTCTGGTGCCTAGCCACAGGCAATATAATCTGAGCAACAAAATTGTATCTCGCATCATCAGGTGCTTCACTTGTGCGTTGGCTTTTGGCAAATTTTATTTCATTACACTAAAATAAATCAACGCGTTAGCTGATGTGCTTTGTTCCGACTACTTGATGTTAATGTAATTAACACAGTTATGTAAATACTACAAGGGTTGTTGGCGTAAACTATGACTACAAGCAATAATCTAAGGAATAAATTCCTTATAGGGATTGTCTGTTGCAAAGGTCGTGAATGAACATAGTGGATATTTAGAGAAATGTTTTCTTTCGAGGACCTGTTGCCATACCGTGTTACACTGTTGCAGACAGCCTTGGAGAGACTAGGCTACAGAGAGGTCCTGCGGTACAACGAGACCGCGGCCTCCATGTTGTACAACGGCTGTACAAGCTCCTGGGTATGGCGACCCATCTGTCTGCTCTTCATCAACACCTTCGAGTACTTCACACGCAACAACTGGGACAATGTGAGCTGATCCACACGCATCCATTATGTAGTCATTATATTCATGCAACTTATCCATATATGGATTCCTCTGTTAACTTTCAACAACTTAATGACCTGCGTAGGTGTTTATGACTTATACGTGATTGAGGGAAGGTGAAAAGATATGAGCAAGAGCATCGATAAGATATAATGATAATTAAATGTTTATTTGGCTAGGATAGTTCCTTACAAGCCTACTAAACAACGGCTCAACATAGAAGTATGACCTGCTTTACAAAGCCGGATGTTCTACTTAGGAGATAAAGTAGTAGTAGTCTAAGTACTTGAGGGTTCAAGGTTATAAAATCATAAATTGTTGAATCAATATTTTCAATTCCTGTACGTTTCTATATTATTTTATTCGATACTACATTTTACAGGTAAGACTGTTGGAGAGCCTAAAGTACTCCCCAGCAGGGATAGCGACCAAAGTTCTACACCACTACATCCAGATTGCAAAAGCACGTGAGATTTACTAATTCGTACAAAGTACTTTTTAGTTTAAACTGATATTTGGTTAAGTAAGTTTAAACAGCCAAATAATAACAAACAAACCACTTTGTGGAGTCACGTTACGTATTGGTGGGTTTTGGTGCCTAATCGATTCTTTACAGAATGGAAGAAAACAATGTGGTTTTAAAATAAGATTTTTTGTAGAATACCCATTAGTAGGTTATATATGCTACCATTGAGCATGGATAAGTTTAATAGACAACTAATAGGAACTAATAGGAACAGATATTAGTAAATAAAACAATTTATTTTGGCTGAGGTGGTAAATACTGTATTATGTTGTATGAGGCATTTTGGAATAGTATAAATTATATTTAAAAACTATGAATGAAATATTTAACATTTACAAACCTAGGTATACATCCTAGGCCACACATCCTACATCCTACATCCTAGGTAGGTATACATTCATACATCCTTTGGGCATGTACATGTCTACTACATACATGCCTACTACCCTACTACGTGTCGACAAAAAAATTTCTGTCCAGCCCCACGAATATAATTTACACTCAATTGGCAACATTATTTTTGGGGTGGCAGTATATGGCAAAAAGCGTCATACGCTTACATACTTATGATGTTAGCACTACATTGATAAGTATAACAATGCATGATTACAAGTACAATTTGAGCCAATATTTGAATAAACAACTTGAAAGTTATATGCATTGCAGGTACATTCCAGCAGTTCGACTACGGGTTGGAGGAGAATCGTCGACGATACCACACGAGTGGTCTACCCCCGGAGTACGACCTGAGTAACGTAAACTGCAGCAAGATATACTTCGTCACCAGTGACTCCGACTTGATCGCCAACAAGCAGGTATGCTACAGCTACAATGCACACGTGAATACTATGTGCGTTCAACAAAATGTGAGCTTAGTAACCTTGAATTAGTTTAGTTGTTTTTTTCTTTAAGATGTGCTCATAATGTTTCTCTAATATTTACACAAAAAAATCATAAAATGTCCACTTGAGAGAACTATAAGATATTTCATGTTGAGTAAGAAAACAATATCACGTTGTTGGTTTTGATCATATTTTACGAAGGAGCCTCTAAACAATTAAAATTTAAGACACGATCTTGTGGGTATAGAAGGGTAAGCTTTACGGAAAATCGTAGAGAAGATCTATTTTGGGGTTTTACGGGAAACTCCTGTTGTGGGGTTTCAAAGGAAACCCTGTTTGGAATGAAAAGTAAAGCTCTATTTTAGGGAATATACAGGAAATCCCTGTTAAGATATTCAAAGGAAAACCTTGTAGGGATTTAAAGGAAACCTGTCTTTGGGGATTTACAGGAAACCTTTGCTATGGGATTAATAGTAAAGCTTTATTGCCACTATTTTGTGGGGGAAGTAGTTTTGAGGAAGCTATTTGGAGAACAAACGCCCAGTTGTGGGGGAAAAACCTCAATTATGGAGATTAATTCTATGAACAACTTAATTTTGAAATGGGTCACTGTAAAATACTTTTACTTTAGTAAATTTACTGCTGATGTCTCTGAGTTCTTATTACCATGACTCTAACTGTTTAGGATGTGGAGTGGTTGGCCAATAGGTTGCCGGTCAGACCGACGTGGATCTTGGGCCAACACATTCAGCACTTCAGTCACCTGGGGATCGGCATAGACAAGCAAGCAATGGACTTAGTCATCACACCTCTAGCGAACTTCCTCAGACAGAACTTCCTGACGTAGATAATCATTGCATTGAGATCATGAGACTGAAAGCTACTGCTACCTGCCGTCTGGTCGTGGTGCCAGAAACCATACTGGAGGATGGGGACACGAACGTCTAGTACAAATAGTTCATACCACAAGCTCAAACGGGGAGAGCAATGTTCAGCGTTCGTTGACAAAAATACAACGATTTTTATGACACGTTTTTAATTATTTGGAATCATTGTAGTGTCCCCAAAAGATTATAAAACTAACGAAAAAGACTTTTGGTTGAGTTATGATCAATTATATTTTTACTATGGTATTGAGTAAAATCAGAGACAAAATTAATTATTTTTGTCAATGGTAAAATTAAGACTTGTAGCATATGCTTATTACTAGCCTACCACAGTGTATTAGCAAATTACGAAGTACAATACAAAGAGGAAAACATTCAGTTATTTCATTGAGCAAAGATTGCACTGACGATAACGCGATATGCAAAATATAGGTGATTGAACATGACAAATTTGATTTTCATCATGGTATTGAGCATGTGTACCAATTTCCTGATGTTCTCTTAAGACATAAATAGTGTTTCAAGCAATTGCATTTTTTAGTTTTTTTCTTTTACCGATTACCTGATTTTTTGGCAAAGGTACGTACGTTTGGAGTGTCTGTATACATACAATTAACGAGTGGTTTCATCAGTCACTGTAAATAGTGGAACTATACATCCTATATTATTCTAACATCTTGCTGCGTGGTTCGTGTTGGTGATGTTTCAGTGCACTGGCGTTGACTAAATATTTCTATCGTGTTCAAGATAGATTTTAAAAGTTCTGTAAAATTTGTTTAATCTATAAAATCCAGCAGTAAAAGACTATACAATCTACACAAGCCACAAGAATAGCTTTGTGGATGATAAAAAGGTGGTATGCTTTCTCCAACTCCAATAGTGGCCAATAGAGCCAGAGACAGTAAGTTAAGCAGCAAAGGTGTCTCGCAGGTGTCACATTACTGTAACGTCAAACTTCTCTCTTTGACGGTACAATTAAACATTCTTGTCAAGTCCTAACTCAACTTTACCTTTAAATGTAGAAAACCCGTCTACAAAACTTACCTTTTTAATATCAGGTTATTTTTTAATTTCGCTCTTATGGGTATCGATATCCCTTTACATTAACCTTGTCCATACGAATAATATTTAAAACAGTGTCTAGGATATAGCATGGGTTAATTTGTCTAAAGGAAAAATGATTTTTGTAAAGTTAAAGAAAGTTTATGTTGTAAATTGTATCCATATTAAAACTAGAATTTAGATAACGTGTTTCGCTCGTGTCATGTAATTTTCCAAAGTGCCCTTTTTGTAAAAAAACTGCCACAGCACAAGCAAGCATGCGCACATTTGTTTTTAAATAAAAATATTCAGACAAATTAATTTTTTCTACAGAATTAAAATGCAATAATAAAAATAACCTCTCATATATAACCGGTGTTTTCATTCAAATCGGTCGAGCCGAGTTTCTTAACGACATTTTATAAAATAAAACTACCTAACTTTTTTTCATCACTCTTAGTAGAGAAACGGGACCAAACCCGTACTAAACCATTGAGGTAAGTAATAAACCTAAAAAAAACCCAAACGCTCATTCGTAGAAGAATATCTAAATAATCATCATGTGCAAAATTTATATATGCATCCTGTGTCTTTAAACTGTGGTTTTCAGCCAAAAGCCGTTCCTCGAACTTAAAGCGTTGACTGGGTGATATCACTCGGTATCGATATTGGCAGCGATGTTTGCCATATATAGTTCTAAGGATTGTCTCATTGTCTCAGGTTGAAGGACACTCACTACAGGAGACACATCTGAGTCGTCTAGGTTGGCTTTACTGGAAACTGTTCAATATTTTTTAAATGGTGTTTTAGATTATTTAAATTTGTACTTGCTAAGCCATGTTACTTTTGTCAACTTGTGTTTCAATTTAAAAAGTTACGAATTCCGAATTAAGTTGTATAATGTATTCATTTGTATATTTTGTATACTCCTGTTTACTTGTAAGATGTATATCATGTTTTTGGAGTAACAAATATTTATCGCGATATGTATCACATTCGAGTAACATACAAATACTAGAATTAACTACAATTGGAAAACGAACAGACTGTAATCAAATGCCCCCATAGCTATAATGTATCTGTCAAGAATCACACTCACCATAACTATAGTTATTACAAATTCAATCAGTTGGTTTATTAATGTCAAGGTTCTCCTATGTAGATGATTGATACAGTACACATTTGCTACAAACTGTGTATATCTGTATCGCAATAATATCTTTGGAACCATTATTTTCGCGGCAATGCATTAATAGTATTCAAGAGTTTGTACTTAAAATATGTATACAGTAGGGTGTTTCGTAGTTTGTGAGTTCAAACATCGATTCGTCAGTAGATAGCGTAAGTTTATATGTAATGCGTTTAACTGATTACCCACAATCCCTTGCTCAGGTCCAAGGCGAGGCTCTGTTGTGGTCAAATATTCCGCGGTCTTTGATCTGATTGTGGTTCCGCCAGACCAGATTCTCATCTTGGCGCGTCGTCTGCTGTACTTTGAGATGATGAGTTTGCATAGAATTGTATATTGCACATAGACCCATCAAACAGTGCAATGTTTTAGAATACGTAGAGTCGCTATTTTATTACTTTAATCGCCATGCCTCCTTGTACGTGAATTCTTTAGCTCATGCAGATTTACAAGGAATTATGAGTGGTATATGAAGGCTTGTTTTCTAATCAAAATTCCTTTAACACTGTTATGTAGATCACACATGCAACGCCAAATCATCAGAATATAAAACTAACAAAAACAGTCACTTAAAAAGAACTAATTAAGTGGTAATTAAAAAGTACATCGCGACCTTAATTACTGGGTTGATTGACAAAATTGCACCGCAGGACAAGCAACTCCGGTGTGTTCAATATACACCAGGAAAATACTTATAAAACAGGATTCGCTTCTATTTTTTACGTTTAATTTTTCAATTAATTTATTTTTGTATATACATAGCATAACCATGAACTAAAAGTGTTCATTTAGCTCTACCGTAATAACATTAATGAATATCTCAAAATCAGTTTCAAAAATGTTTGTTGGTCGAGAATTGGTTTTCAAATAACGATCAAGATTCTTGACTAGAATGCTCTAACTTAACGTTGTCTCGTACAGAAATAAATTTTGTTGGAAAAAAGTATATTTAATGAAAACTGAAGTTGTGAGTTGTGTAAGTTGTGAGTGAAATGAACGAAGAATTTTCACTATATTGAGAGGAACCTAGATCCTTATGGTATTTTCTTACACTTTACCTCTGTCCGCAGGTCATCAGTGATTTTTGCCACACAAGCCCAAGGTTAAAGACAACTATTAGGGTCGAAATTACACTTTCTTGTGTGGGGGACTTAAATTTTCATCATACTGCACTAATAGTCAGCCTAACCAAACGACATAATGGAAATTTCTTCTTTTCACAATAAGGTGGATTTGTACTTTCAATACTTACAAAACAATGATCTTATTTTATTTTTTGATTACAAGTAAAAAATACTACAACTACTCGTCAGTCAACTCAAAGTAATAAAATACTAGTTATACTACGGCTATATGGAATTATACTCACGATAATGAGTATATAATTCCAGTATAGTGTGATAACACTGTTTTATCTTAGCTAATGATCTCCTAGAGGTGAAATTAGAGTTGTATTATCCCTCTATAAACCTTCTTGAATTTCTTAGGCCTTTTGCGATATAAGCTTATTTCCAGTTATTCCCATGTCACTCATATTGAAAAATTCAAACCGCAGTATTAAAAAATCTAACTACTGTACTATCGATTTGACAAAAATTAAGTAACTGACTACAAACGATACCTACTGTACTTTTGATAACCTGGTTACTTACAATCACACTTACAACAGTTTTCAAGTTTACAAGCGTGAGATATTTTTAGGTTATCTCATCGACTCCAGCTGATTCTGTTTCGCCCTAGAGAGAACTACTTAAACAGCAATAGCAACTTTAGAGTCTTTAGATCCGTAAAGTATTTATTGAAAACATCTGTTTCCGTGGTGGTACACGAATAGTGCAGCAGACAAATCAGCTGTTTACGTTAGTTTCGCTAAAAACATGGTTACTCACCTCATAGACTGGTGGTCCTGTGGTACAGCTGTGGAGGTTGGTACAGCCGCAGCCGCCAGAATCTAGAGGCACTGGGTCATGACTGTCGGATCTCAGGTTTGGCAACTACCTACCAATTACCTGCGTTACGACACTTACTATTCGCTCCTCCCAGACAAACTGGTGTCAGCAATCAATCTATCAAACACAGAACACCTCACATCATACCTAGTTTGATCAATGGTGCCAATACTGAGACTTAACGGAACGTAAACTGAACTGAATTGGCAAATTAAGGTAAGTGTTGTTTTGAAAAAATTCTACTTTACAAATGATCTTTCTTCAGAATTATCTAACTAGTTTGCACCCTATAGCTCTTCAATTACTAATGTCTACTGTGTTATGTATTCCTCTGTTGGAAGTCCCCACAAATAACTTAGCTATGACAGCAACGATTAGCATTCCTATGTCCATATGAAGAGCCGATGTTGTGGTCAGCGCTGGCCAGCCCTACGGCCATGAAGGTCTCGAGTTCAATGCCAAGACACAAGCGATTTATTACCATGTTTAATTGTAGCCACCAATTCTGAGGATTGAATTTTTAACCCATCTAAATTACTATGGGGACGCTTATTACAGGTTAGGTATAATGCTATGACCATCTTTGAAGAAAATAAAAATGGAGATCTTGATCTGGAAGAAGATTGAAGCTAAATAAATATATTAACATAGTCTAATAAATAAATCTTAAAAAATTATTAACATTTATCTTTACATGCTAAAATAAAAATTACATTGTTACCTAGTAGGCCTACATAATTAAATTCTAATCCTACCTACCCTCCATTAAACCTTTTTGACTCCTGAAGAATTTTTTAAGAATTGTTTTAAAATGTGTACGTTACCCTTTTCTTACACGCAATTCAAAATCTAAGACGAGTCATTATTTTTCTGTCTCCTTACATCAGTCGTATGGACACGTTTATTAAAAGTTATTATGAATATCAATACGATTAATTGAAACTTATAACTACTTTCTCT